ACGAGTTAGTCACTTTGTGAAAGTCTGTAAAATATTGTAAAGTTATTTTAATTTTCCAATAAAGACAAGCCATCGTGACATGATTGCGGGTTAAAAAAAAAAAAAAAAAAATTAAGATATGCTTTCCATACAATTTAAAAAAAAAAAACATTCTAAAGAAATATATTTTTATTAAAAAGAAATTTAAAAAGTTGAATCTTTTGAAGAAACTAAAATTATTTTAATTTTTTTTTTCTCTCTTTTTATTTTCTTGTAGTATGTTTGTATATTTTTATATACTGTATATCTATTTTCCTTTTATATTTCTTTTCTCTTATATAATTTTTTATTAACCTATAGTTTAATAGGACATATGGCATTAACAATTATTGATAATAATAGTAAAAATTAAGATAGTATTTATTCAATATTTCTATTGAAGTGAAATATTATCTCCAAGATTAAACTTAGAGACTATTATGCTTAAGATAAGTTTATTAGATATGATATAAATATTTAGCTATAGTATTTTTTATCCTATTCTAATAAATATGTACTTTGTTTTCTGAGAAAATAAATACTATCTAGCCTGATTACAAATAATTAAAAAAAAAAAAATCAAAATATAATACAACTCTTTCTACTGATTCTACAAAAAAAATGTTTACAAGAAGTTATTAAACTTTTATGCTAATAAAACCTTAACACTCTTCTTAAACCAACTTGAGAAGAAGTTTAAGAATTAACATTATACTTTCCCTTCCTCTTGTAAATATTTCTCTTTATACAAAAATATGACTTTTATTGATCCAAGCCATGAAACACTCTTCTTACCAATGACAAGAAAATTCTGAAAGGAAAAAGAATTGAAATGCTTTGATTCTTCCACTTGACAAAAAAATATTACAGAGCTGTGTTTATAATGAGAGATGCTTTAAAATATATCCACTTACTTTCTTGTCATGATAGTAGCTCTAATAGTACTTTTTATTTTTTCTAGAAAAATTTGCATATCTTAGTTTGATCTTAAATTTTAAGTAGTATAAAGTTTCTTATATAGTAATTGAACAAAAAAATACATATCAATAAAAGAATATAAACAAACTTCTATTAGTTATCTTATATGTCTTGAATATATTTTCTTAGCTCAATAAAAACCTGGATTTACTATAAGTTATTGGGTTTTGATACAAGTGATATAGAATATATTTCCAAACAAGTCATTAATCATCTTCAGTAAGAATCTATCCAACTATAGTAAAGGTTATAAGATGTTATATCTAGTTTTTAGAAACATAATTACCTACCTCTAATTGTTAAATAGATTTCTTTCAGCTTCATCAAATAGATGAAAATTCAAAGATAGAGCATTGATTCCTCTATCTATTTCTTGACTCAGCTTTTAGAATATAGAGAATAGAATATATGAATAGCAGCCTTTACTGCACTGTTCTTAAACAATAAGGATCAAAGAAAATAGTCTGTGAATTGGTCTACTGATATCAATACATATGTTCTTTTTCTTAAACTCTTCTCATTTTTAAAATGGAAATTGAACTTATCTTTTCTTTATCCATATTTCTTGAAAAAGTGATTTATTAGTTTATTCTAAAGACTTTCTCTTTTTACTAAATATTAGTATCTTATTTACATATATAATTTACAATAATTTTTTAGAAGCTTTTGCAAGGGAGCACAAATCAATTACCAAAGGCAATAGCCAAAATTCCTGTATTTTCCAAGAACTTAGATAAAGGTATCTAAAACATAACTAATATTGTGCAAAAATTATTGAAGAATTTGAAATATAATCAAACTGTGCACTGATGTTTCCACTATTATATATGAATAGGTATTTACCACTACTAGAAAAGTTTTAATGAATACCTTAAACAGAATTTTCTTTCTCTTATATAAGTTACATAATAAGAAATTGTATGTATAGGTTAACTATTTCATTCACTCATTTATTTTTCAACCTTATCTTTTCTCTTTTCATAAAAATTTTTTCAGTACTAGTGGTCTTTTACTAATTATTACTTTAGAGATAGCAACATACTTGAGAATAATTAGTATAGTTATATCATTTAGGTTTAAATTATATTTTTAATATGTACTATATTTATATTTAAAAACTATATTCAATAAAGTAAAGACTGAGCTGATGGTTTAAAAAAAAAAAAATAAATAAATAAATAAAATATAATAAAAGAAATTAAAAATAATTTTAAAAAAATTTAATAAATTATATTAAAATATAAAAAAGAAAACAAAAATATACTTGCTAATAAACAATAAAAAAAAAACAAACTTTTCAATTAGTGAAATTATTTTATTATACAAAATATTAACTTGATATACTGTATTATATAAAAAAGATTAAAATTAAGATAAGAAAATAAGTACTAAAAGATTTGCAATCAAATTTGTAAGTAAATTGAAAATACAAAATATAAAAAAATTATAAAATAGAAACAAAAATAAAAAATTAATAAAAAAAAGAAACTTAAAAAATTCTTGAAATCTTGAAATCTTGAAATAGAAGATTTTTAAAAGAATATAAAAAAAAAAAATATTAAAAATAAAGATCTTGATAAATAAAATACAATATAATATGTGATTTTTAATTCTATTAGAATTTTAAGTATTAATCTATAGTAATAAATTATAAACACTTTTTGTGTTAATCAATTTTATTATTACTTTCAAAGCAATATTCATCAGAAGTTTTATATTTCTGTATTAATAAAGTTGCTATACTATAATTACTGTAAATATACTTTGTAAATATACTATAAAGTATCTTCTATCTAGTTTTATTTTTTTTTTTTATCTCTTTTATTGTTTTGAGTATCAGTTTTAAGTCAAAAATAAATGAGGTAAAATTTGAACTTCTAATAGCAAGAAAGGATACTTAGGAAAAAGACTTTTAATTAAAGATTTCCTTTCACAACTCTATAATAGGACAGGCAGATTTATAGAAAAAGTATTTGTTAAAGGCTATATTATATGCAGTGGTCTTATTTTCTAGAAAATTCACTAGATTCTAAGCTTCCTGAAGCATATAAACAAATTTTCAGTTTTTTTGAAAAATTTTATCTATTCCCTTCTAATTCTGAATTTTTGGTTATATCAGATTTGCTGAAATTTCATTGACTAGAAATTTGAAGCTGGATAACATTATCAGTAATAAAAGATAAACAAGATATACATATGTTTTATGTATTTCTTTTGTATTACTCCTTGCAAATAAGTTTTATTCTCATTACAATTATCAATATAAATACTTTACGAACTGTATATACTTAAGTCTATTTGTTGAAACTGTCTTCTCTAGTAAAAATTAAAAAAGAAAAAGTTCAACTAATCATGATAAAGGTTATAAGACACTTCAATAATTTTTAGTATTGAAGTCACCTATCTTTGATAGTCCAGTAGATTTTAATAGTTTTTATAGATAGATAAAGATCTATTTCATTTTTATAAAAACAAACAAAGTAGATAGAATATTTTTTCCAATTGATAGGTTTTTTATTTCTGATCTATAGTTTGTAGAAGAACTATAAACTGAAGATCCATATTAAGACTTTCAACATGATTCTTCCTTAAGTATAGCTATCTAAGCTACCAGTAATATCCACCAATTTTACTTTTAGTGAAAGTACTTGTTAAAAACTATTGTTAGATTGAAAGATTTCTTAAAAACTAGTCTGATTTTGAAAGAGTGTAACTTTTTAAATAAGTAGCTTATGTTTGAAGCTAATATTATCTTTAGGACTGGATCATCAACCCCCTCACAGATTTTAAGATACTCTCTTAGCTATAGGTCCCACCTGATTTTTGGATAAGTAATTCTTTAGGCAGACTTTCAGATAAGATAATATCAATAAAGCAGATCTCTGAAACTATTTCCTTTTTATCTGAAAAAAAGAAGATGTAAAAGAAATTCTCTTCTCTCCCTTTCAAAAATAAAGAGATATAGTACTTCAGTGAATAATTTATAGGTATTGACTTTCTCCTTGATATTAGTCTCAATGGATAGTCAGTAGTAGAAAAAATTTAGATCTTTATTCAATAGTATTCTGGTGTTTTTTCTTTTATATTTTTAGCACTAGTTTAAAAGTAATTTTAGATTAGTCTCCCTTGATTTGGAGCAGCAAAATGCAATTTGATAAACTGTTAGGTTTTACTTGAATTACTAAATAAAATATAAAGCAAAGGTGAGATTTAACTTTAGCGACACAATTTTGAACTAGTTCACATGATTTGATTGACGCCAATCATAAAAAACGTGACAAATAAAATAAGATTATCTTGCTAAAGTTGTTTGTATATTATGCATCGTTCACTTTTACTATTCAGAATTGTGACAACTTTAGCTTCGAAACATCAGTTTCGTGCATACGCAGTTTCGAATATACCTGATGATATCCTACGGAATAATGCTATGCAGGAGAACCCCGCACCTGACGAAGCGACGAATACCACTAAAGAAGAAACACATGAAGCGTCGAATACCACCAAAGAAGAAACATATGAAGCGACGAATACAATAAAAGAGACTCCACCTCTCGAGGCCACGAAATCAGAAAACACCCGCGAGAATCCTAGCGCAAATTTGGCAGCTCCACAACAGTCTTTTGCGCAAAGAGCAAAAGCAGGTTTTCCAAAGCGAGCTCTACCTTCAGAAATGGCAAGGAGCTGGGAAAAACCTACAGAAAATTTGCATGCACTTTTTCCACCAGGTTTGAAATAACTTGTTCATTCGAAGAGACATATTTCTATAAAATATACTAAATTTAATATATAAACAAATCTCTTTTTATTGATAAGTATTATTTATTTCTCTTTTTTAAGTGGATTTAGGACCACTTGGTATAGTTAGCAGGTTTCTAGAGATAAAGAACCTTCCGCTTACGGCAATTCCTCGCGACATACAAATGATGGCACCTGATATTCCCATTGTTGAAAGTAAGGTTTAATATTTAAAGTCACAAGATTTGATTATTTCTTATATTCATGCTTTATTTTCTTTGTAACGCACTTTCAATAATATAGTTGCACCCATTCGAAACAGTTACTTTCAACTTACTGGATCATATGAGATGAGTTTTCAAAACGATAAAGCCGCTCTCAAATTTGTTAATTTGAGTATGCAGAAATATTTGGGAGGAAATAAACTTGAATTTAAGTTCCTTGTACGCGTATAATAATGACAACATTAATGCAATCATCTTTCGTAAATTATAACATTAATCCGATACTATATTCATATTTAATTTTTCAGCCGAAATCTTACGAAATTAGACCAAGAGCGCCGTTCAACCACCTAAGAGATTCTGGCAATAGTATTGTTGTTTGTGGTTTGCCTAAAAATATTTCTGTCGATCAAATCCGAGAAATGATATCCGACTCACCCGGGAACCAACAGTTGCTTTGGAAAAATATTTTTGAGCTGCCCATGTACGTCAATACTTCAACATCGCCAAACTGTTGAACAGTGTTAAATCTAATTGTAATCTATCGCGTTTTTTCTAGTGCTGGCTCTTCGACTATCCACTCCAAATACTTGATTGTTTTGAAAGGTAAAAATGAAGCATACCGTTTGACTAGGAAATTACATAATAGTTATTATGCTAAAGAATTTAATGGTCGGAAATATCAGTTGAAAGTTAAAGTTGCCTACTAGTTGAGACATATCGGATACTAAATTTACAGTGTTCTTATTAAAAGGCCTGAAAAAGCATCTTGTGTTCTATATAGTCAAAGAGAATATTGATTTTTTATTTATACTATATAATCAATTTCTAATTCTTTGTGGGTGTTATGGATCTAATTTGCTTTGCATTAATAACAAGAAACTACTTTTTTTCATATTACTCTATTCTTGATTTATATGGATGAATTTTAATTCTTTTTTGAAAGAAAAATGTTTGATAGCTATGCATATTTACTTTTATTTCATATCTTTATAATATTTACTTGATTATTGTTTTATCATAATAATTATTTTTTAATTTATAGTTAGATTGTCTTTGTTGTTACTATTTAAAATTGTGTTATTTGACAGTCAAATCATTATCAAATTTGATTAAGTTTGTTAATAAAAACATTGATAAATTCTTTTTGATTGCTACTATTCAGCATATTAATATTTTGACAAAATCAAATTTAACAATAAATTAACAAAAAAATTTTGATATTGAATTTAACAAAAATTTTATATATTGTAGCAAAAAATTTGATAAAAAATTTGTATACATAACGAAATTTGACAAAAAATTACAAATTAATTATATTGTGCCAAATATATTTATAAAATTAATTTTAAAATTTGTAATAAGATAGTATCAAAATTTGATGTATATTTAAAAAATTAATAATTTTTAAAATTTTTTATAAAATTTATTATAAAATTATAAAATTACTGGATTAAATTATTCATTACTTTTTTTTTCTTTTATAAATTTTAACTTGACTTTTTGAAAACATGTTCTATTTTTATTTTGTTAAATTTTATTCAAATTTATATATATATATATTTTTTTTAACTTTTCAATTGCTTTTCAAATATTATTTATTCATATTACTAGTTGAAATTATGTCATTCGGCTGCCAAATTATTGCTGAATTTGGCAAAAATTAATAATAAAAATATTGACAAATTATTTATGATTGCTACCATTTGGTATTAAAAATATTAGCAAAAAATATTGACATACTGTGAACAAAAATTCGACACAAAATCCAGCAATATTGCAATAAAAAAAATTTTGTATACTGTGGTAAAAAAATTTTTGCATATTGTGACCAAAAATTAAACAAAAATTGATACTGCAGTCAAAAATTCAGCAAAAAAATTGATAGTGCAGAAAAAAATTTGGCAAAAAAATTAATACTACAGTAAAAAATTCAGCAAAAAAAATTGATACTGTAGCAAAAAATTCAGCAAAAAAATTGATATTGTGACAAAAAATTCAGTAAAAAAATTATAGTGAAAAAAAATTCAATAAAAAAATTATTGTAGTAAAAAATTTGGCAAAAAAATTATTATAGTAAAAAATTCAAATTTCATGAAATTTATTAAAAAATTACAAAATCAATTGATTAAATTATTTATTATTTTTCTCTTCCTCATTTTTTACTTGCTTTTCTTTTTCCATTAAAGATCTCAACTTGACTCTTTTAAAACTAGCCCCAATTGGTTTTACCTTGTCAAATGTTTTTTTGAGATTTTTCACTTTTTCTTTTAACCTAACTACCCTCAAATTTCACCTATTTATACACTTTTCCCAATTTGTTCCTTATACTCTAAATATATTAATGATTTCTTATATTCAGTAATTTTTGTTTTTTGGATTTATTTACCAATTTTTTACCTTTTCTTGTCTCTTTTTCTTATTCACATTCCAAAATTTCTTTTAAACTGTATACTCAATTTGGTAAGCC